GTTTATTGCTTGTGAGCTCTGCCTGGACCTCTAGGGCCTATAGTAAGTTCTCAGTAAACATTCATTGAAAGCATCCATAAGAAAGGTTGGTACCCCTCCTAAGAAGAGGCTATGATTATGGTCAGGCAATCAGTGTCAGGGAGAAGCTTCCAGAGGCAGTGGTATAACAGGCAAGTGGAGCGGATGATGGACACAGTCTGTCAATGTAAAGTAGGCCCTGCTGGCCCCGGGGGCTGGGGTCCCAAGGTGGGAGGAGTTAGAAACTGGTGAGAACAAGGCAGGGTGGGGTCCACGGTAATCATGGAGCCCACAGCACTTTCACCTCCTCCTGGCCACTGCCAACCTGGTCAGCTCCTTGTCACTGTCCTCTGGTACTTTTATTCTTTCGCCACAAAAATCCTTTATTACCCAGAGCGACCTTTTGAAAATGTAGGTCAAATCATGTTACCTCCTTGCTTAAAACCATCCAAGGGCTTCCCTCTGTGCTGACAGCCGCATGATAACAATGTCAGCTATACTTACACAGGGCTGATTAGTTGCCAGGCACCTTGCTAGGCACCTTAGTTACAATAAATCTTGTAATTCTCATAACATCACTGTAAGGCAAATGCTACTATTAACATCCCCATTTTACAGAGGAGAAAACTGAGGAGCAGAGAGGTTCAATAACTAGCCTGAGTCCACATGGATTAAAATCCAAACTTTTTATCAAGGCCCGGAGCCCTCCACCCTCAGGTCTTTGCATGGCTGTCCCTATCTCATTATTGGGTCCTGGCACCAATGCCATGTTCTCAGAGAGGAGTTCCCACATTATCCACTTTATAGTGCTCCCTACTCTCTATTGCATCATCCTTTTTCACTTACATATTACTTACCATTTTATTAAATTATCTTCATTTTCTTACATACACCCTTGTTTCTGTCTGGGTCCCCTCTTCCCTCTCAGGTATCAGCTCCTTAAGAACAGGGACTGTGACTCTCTTGTTCACCTTCATGTTCCTGCACTTGGCACAGGTGGATAGCGGCTCAGTAGGGGAGGGGAAGACGGGAGGACAGGAGGAAAGAAGTCCTGAGCTCCTTCAATGACCTCCCTCCCATGACCAGAGCAGGCATGGGCCCTCAGAGGGAGAGAATGGAGCACAGAGAGGAGTGTGATGAAAAGACACTGCAAAGGAAATCAGGGCCCTGGGAGACCTTAGGGTGTGGCCATCCCCACACTTCCTGGGAAGGATGTTTCCCTGATTAAGGTTGTCAGATTTCACAAATAAAACTACAAGATGCTCAGTTAAATTTGAATTTCAGATAAAAAGTGCATTTTTTTAGGTATAAATATGTCGTGTATAATATTTGGGATATATTTATATCAAAAATTGTTTGCTGTTGGGGTGCCTGGGTGGCTCAGTCCATTGAGTGTTGGACTTCAGCTCAGGTCATGATCTCGCAGTCCATGAGTTTGAGCCCCACATCAGGCTCTGTGCTGACAGCTCAGAGCCTGGAACCTGTTCAGATTCTGTGTCTCCCTCTCTCTCTCCCCTGCCCCACTCGTGCTCTCTCTCTCTCTCTCTCTCTCTCAAAAATAAATAAGTGTTAAAAAAAATTTTTTTTTAATTTTTTTTTCAACGTTTATTTATTTTTGGGACAGAGAGAGACAGAGCATGAACAGGGGAGGGGCAGAGAGAGAGGGAGACACAGAATCGGAAACAGGCTCCAGGCTCTGAGCCGTCAGCCCAGAGCCTGACGCGGGGCTCGAACTCACGGACCGCGAGATCGTGACCTGGCTGAAGTCGGACGCTCAACCGACTGCGCCACCCAGGCGCCCCAAAAAAATTTTTTAATTAAAAAAAATGTTTGCTGTTTATCTGCAATTGAAATTTACAGGGCATCCTGTATTTTCTCTGGTGGCCCTATCCCAGACCTTCACTTTGTGCTAAGTGCAAAGCGTGATTCTGCTGAGCATTAGTCTGCTTTTCAAATATGGGACATTTTGTTTTCACTCCTGAATGAGGAAGTACAATCTCTTTATCGATCTAAGAAAAGGAGAATGTCTGTGGAAACAGTAGCTTAGAGTGGATTGGCTCCAAGGTGCCAGATAAATATCATGGGGAGGACAAAGCAAATGGCTTTGTCCTGAACTCAAAGCTGCTTTCAGAACCTGTTTGTGCTCTTGCCTGGCCTTTCCTTTCCAGGCCCAAAGGTGGGCTTGAGTGGGTGCTGTCAAAGAGGGCAAGAAGAGTATCAAGTATCGAGTATTGAGTAGCCAGGATCGAGAATCGTTCAGCCTGTGAGGAAAAGATTCACAGGAATGTGGGCCGATCCCGGTGATTACTTATGCATTCAGTCTCCGTGAGCAGCTGGTGGCAGGAACTCAGAGATGAATGGCACTGGGTGCTACCCTGGAGACTCTCCAGAGATGGAGAGCTGGATCTGGAGCCCAGGACCAACGAGCGATGCCTATCCCCAATCTGTCTTCATGACTGAATGGGAAGACTGCATTTCTTTCCCTCTCTCTCTCTCCTTCTTCATTCTTTTTCTCTTTTCTCTCTCTTCTTTTTCCCTCGCGTTTCTAGCCTTTTGTCACTTTCAACCTACAAGTACCATAAAGGAAAGATTACTAGTGCACTCAGACCTGGGGCCTGGTCTCTCCAAGCCCCTGCTCCTCCTCCCCACTACCGCCTCAGGAACTAGGCAATACCTACAATTGCCCTTGGAGTTCATTTGCATGCCCTTCTCTAATTGGTTGATACAAACCCATTGTATTCCCTAACCCTCCACTCCTCTCTGCCACTCCCCACCCTCCTGTTGGGGCCCCATAAGGTACAGCATCCTGGGAGCCTCAAACTTCTAAACAGAGGCTTTGTCTGCTCAATTACTCTTCCATAAAGTGTCAGTGGATGATCCTTTAAGGTTTGGGGTTAAGAGATCTAGATTCAAGGCTGGACTTTGCCACTGACAAGCTATGTGATCTTGAATGAGTCTCTTTGCTTCTCTGAGACTCATTTGCCGAATCTATAAAATGAGAATAATTCTCATGATGAGGTGTTTTTATGAGAATACTCTGTAGTGGTGAACATGGACTCAAGCCAGACTGCCCGAGTTCAAATCCTTCCTCTTCCACTTACCAGTAGAATGCCCTAAGTGAGTTACCTTTTTACTTCCTTTTCCTCATTTGGTTGGAGTGAGTCTGAAATAAGTCAAATTGTATAAAAACACCTGGAACAGTGCTTTGCACACACGTGTCTAATGAATGTCAGCCTTTATTGTAATGGGTATTAAAGTCTTTTGTCCAAATGCTGTTAATATTATTATTGTCCAATGAATAATTGGGCATAGGCTGGGAAAAATCAATTGAATACAGCTCTGGCTTGGGAGCCAGAATTTCTTACGAAGCAAGCCTAAAGAAGTGAAGACTTAACTTCTCCAAGCCTCAGTGCCTTTGTCTGTATGATGGCAATAACAACTTTACCACTGCCTACTTCACAGTGTGGCTCAAGTGCCTGGACAACAGTAAGCACTTAAAAAAAGTATTTATTGGGGCACCTGGGTGGCTTAGTCGGTTAAGCATCTGACTTTGGCTCAGGTCATGATGTCATGGTTCATGAGTTTGAGCCTCTCATCAAGCTCTCCACTCTCAGTGCAGAGCCTGCTTCAGATCCTCTGTCCCCCCTCTCTCTGCCCCTCCTCCACTTGTTTTCTCTCTCTCTCTCTCTCTCTCTCTCTCTCTTTCTCTCATTCTCTTTCAAAAATTAATAAACTTAAAAAAAAAGTATTTGTTGAATGAGTGAATGAATGCATAGACCTTGTTGGGTAGCAGTGACAAGCAGCAGGGGTCTGACCCGAGCAATGTTAACTGCTGACTTGGGGCCATGAGACCTGATGCAATGAAGGTCCACATAAAGCAGTGGGGGAGTGCTGAGTTAAAGTGACAGACTGGGTGGTATGATGGTCAGCTTCACATTTGGATGATGGGCATTCTTATACTTGCTTGATGAGAGTATAAATGCATTAGTATAAATCAGCCTTTTTGGCAAATCATATAATGCTATCACAGTTTTAAAAGAGCACACAAATTGACCTAGTAGTTCCATTGGTAGGACATCATCCCCCACATATCTTGCCTCAAGTGTGCCAAGATGTATATAGATAGTATGTTCATTGTAACTCTTTGCAATAGTGAAAAACTGGAAATAACCTAAATGCTCCACAGAATGGGAATAATAAATTGTGGTACACCTATGTTATTGACTTTGTAGCTAGGAATGAGGTAAATATGTTCGTATTAGTATGGAGAGGCCTTAAGATGTGTGGTTAAATAAAGGAAAAGAAAAACTCGTTGACAAAGCTATGCATTTAATTTAATAACATTTGTGGGGGAAAAAAAGCCGTATCTATATATCTGCATAGGAAATATAAGAAAGTAAATATCTGAAAGAGTTAGTTAGGGTGGTTGTCTCTGCAGAAAAAAAATTTTTTTTTTTTTTTTAATTTTAATTTGAGAAAAAGAAAGAACTCCCGTTTAAAGTCCAAAGGCCCTATTTGTAGTCTGGGCAATGACACTGTATGATTCACTTTTTTGAGCCCAAGTTTCCTCTTGTGTTAACTAGCAATGGTAATATTCACCTCTCACGGTTATGATGGGGTGACACGAAATACTAGGTATGGAAACACCCGCTCAGAGAGGGGAGCAATCACGGAGGGCGAGGTGAGAAGGAGGAATGAGCCTGGACCTTGAGAGGTTTGGCAAGGTCTGGATTTGACTTGATTCCTGACTGTCTTTCCCTAACATTCCACAGGCATCTATTTATCAAGGGTCTGCTACAAAACCTAACGTGGGCTTTTCAACCATTTACCTGCCCTGAGAGGCAAGGGTGGGGGGGGGGGGTTGTTGGGCGGGCAGCGGGGGGGGGGGGGGTCTTTGGCGGCGCTCCGCCCATGTACTACAACTCCCAGCAGGCTCCGCACACGCCTCAGGCGCGTCGCTGGCTGCTGACGTATCGCCATAGCGCGGGGAATTTCGAGTAGCTGTGGAGCGCGGGGAGGACAGTGGGTGACGGACCCCCCAGCCTACTTAGGAGAAGCCATGGACTCCCAAGTCGAGCCTCGGTGGCCTCCAGGCTTGGCAGTCATGAAGGTGAGTGGTCTGGGGAGGTTGGGGGCACCCGGGTGTCCGGGAGGCCAGCCCCGCCTTGAGGAGGAGAAAGGATGTGATGTGAGCCTCGAGCTGGGCCAGGGTACCCGGTTCGGCTCTGCCCCTGAGCGACCTGGTAGATTTGAGCCTCCTGCTGAGAAGTGACGGTGTCAGGCCTCGGTCCCTTATGGGGAACTTATGTTGGTCGCCTTTTGGAACCGGGTATTTTCAGCAAGAACAATGACCTCGAGAAGAATAGTCCAAACAGTGAAAACGACAGTGACAACTAATCCTTTCTGAGGGCCTACTACTTGTCGAGCATTACGTAAACTCTCGCAGTACATTAGTTGAGAATTTCCCCTAGTGACACCGGACTTGATTTGGTTTGAACCCTCCATCAGATAACACTTATTTAATCACCTAGCGAAACCGGTCGTCTCCTTCCCATTCTTTCATTTCTTCTAATCACCTTGTGCTGGTTTGCTCTAACCCCTCCCTGACCTGTCCTAACTCCTAACAGTTGTGCATCGCTTTTAAACAAGATCAGGGTTCAGGCTCAGCCTTAGCCTTTTGTTTCATTGTATTATTTCACTTAAGTAACTTTTTTTTTTTTTTGCAAGTCATTCCAGTTCCATTTGCTATAGTGGTGAGCCCTGGGTTCCTGCTGTGCTTGATCAAGAGCAAATACACTTTGCTGTGCTAGCTAAGAATCAGTTGCTTGGTTTTTCTTCTTGCTCTGTAATTATGCATTTCTGTTTGTGTGCAAGACCACTTTCTAGTTGTTATTCCTCAGTTTTGTAAATTTGGGGATTATGGTGTTTGTCCCACTGACTCATAAGACTTGACTTTGAGGATTAAGTGAGGGGATAGGGTCTTATTCTTCTTACTGTCATCAGTGTCGTCTACAGAGCTTGGGGACTCGAGATAGCCCCATGGTGAAAAGCTGACATTGTGGAGGGGTCTAGGAAAGCTGTGGTTTTGGAGATGTGGTGGCCTTGACACAAAGTTACAGTGGAAAGGAACATAGATTTGAGTTCAGGGGTCCTGGGTTAGATCCGGTGTCTGGCTCTTATTTAACCGTGTCATCTTGAGTCGGCTACTTAACCTCCCTCAGCCTGAATTTCTTCAAAGTGGAGACAAAAATAAATAGTTCATACGGTTAAATGAGTTGATGTGTGTGGGTAGGGATCTTGTCTGGCTTATTCACTGTGCTTGGCACATAGTGCACGTTCAAAGATTATTTGCTGATTGGTTGAAGGTAGTATCTGGAAGGTACTAAGCATTCAATTAATACGTCTTTATTATCATCATTAGCACTTAACATGTGTGAAGTGTTCCTTTCATCCCTTTTTATTTGTTGTTGTGAAGATTGAATTGGATAAAGGAAATAAAAGCTTATAAAGCTTTTTGATGTGTAGATTTGAGCATATTTTATATATTACTACAACTTCCACAATGTTCTTTAGAAGCAGGTTCCATGTCTTCTCTGGATTTGATGTCTCACCAGAGCACTGAATACAGGGTTCAGCTCCCGACAGTGTTCAACGATGGGGTTGACTGAGCCCATATTAGAATCATAGTGGAGAGCCAGCCCCCTTCCAGTATTTCTTTTCTACTTTTCTAATAGGTCTTTTATTTTGTTTTTATTGTTCGTACCTCTTAATGCTCTTCATTTTGCCCTTCCCCCATCCACCTCCCAGGTGGCAACCACCAGTTGTCTGTATTTAAGGGGCTGTTTTTTCATTTTTTTGTTTTTTTAGATTCTACATATAAGTGAAATCATGTGGTGTTTGTTTTCCTCTGTCTGGCATATTTCATTTACATATTACCCTCTGGATCCATCCATGTTGTCACAAATGGCAAGATCTCATTCTTTTTTATGGCTTCGTAATGTTACATTGTATATATGTGCCATATCTTTTCTATGCATTCATCTATCCATGGACACTTGGGCTGCTTCCATACCTTGGCTTTTGTAAAAAATGCTACAATAAACATAGGGGTGCATATGTCTAGTAGTGGAATTACTGGATCATATAGTATTTCTGTTTTTAATTTTGTGAGGAACCTCCATAGTGTTCTTCACATTGGTTGCACCAATTTACATTTCTACCAACAGTGCAGGAGGGTTCCCTTTTCTCCACATCCTCACTAACACTTGTTATTTCTTGTCTTTTTGGTACTAGCCATTCTGACAGGTGTGAGGTGATATGGTGGTTTTGATTTGCATTTCTCTGATGATGAGTGATGTTGGGCATCTCTTCGTGTCTGTTGGCCATCTGTATGTCTTCTTTGGAAAAATGTCTATTCAAGTCCTCGGACCATTTTTTAATTGGATTATTTGGGGGGTTTTTTGGTGTTGAGTTGTATAAGTTCTTTATATGTATTTTAGATATTAACCTCCCATTGAGTGTATCATTTGCAGACATCTTCTCCCATGCAATGGGTTGCCTTTTTTGTGTTGTTGATGGTTTCTTTTGCTGTGTGAAAGCCTTTTATTTTGGTGTAGTCCCAGTGCTTGGATGTTTACTTTTGTTTCCCTTGCCCGAAGAGACATATCTATAAATATGTTGCTAAGGTGATGTCCAAGAAATTGCTGCCTAGGTTTTCTTTTAGGAGTTTTTTGGTTTCAGGACTCACATTTAAGCCTTTAATCCATTTTGAATTTATTTTTTACATGGTGTAAGAAAGTGCTTCAGTTTCATTCTTTTGCATGTAGCTCTCCAGTTTTCCCAATACCATTTATTGAAAGGACTGTCTTTTCCCCATTGTATATTCTTGCCTCCTTTGTTGTAGATTAATTGACGGTATAGGTGTGGGTTTATTTGTGGGCTCTCCCTCCTGTTCCATTGATCTATGTGTTTTAATCCCTTTATAATGTATTTGCCAATTTGTTACATAGTTTCTGCTTGAACTTTTCCAGGGACAAAGAATTAGCTACTCCTGGAAACTGTGTTTGAAGCTTTCTTCCTTTGAGGTGAAATCTGCCTCTAAATCCCAATAATCTAGGATCCATGGACAGACTTTTGTATTTGAAATTATTTATAAAATTTCTGTTTGTATGTGTTTTCCTGAGAAGAGAGTTCATAGTTTTTATCCCTGTTTTAAAAGGGATCTGTGACCAAAAAAACTTAAGAACTTTTTCTCTAGTTATTAAGTCTTTTCACTCACTTTTTCCTTCCTCCTTCCACTTTGCCCTCTTCTCTCTAAGTTGAAGAAGCCCTGGAGCATTCCACTTGACCGCTCTCTGTTTCCTGCACTGCATGTTATGGTCTTGAAGTGGCGTGACCAGAAGTTTTTACAAGAATGTTATAGTTCATCTGATACAGTATCACCTTCCACAAATCTTGCTGGGCATGTGTCAGAACTACTCCTCCAGAAGAGAGAGGATGGTTAGGTAGAAGAAAGCACAAGAGAGTGGATGCTCGGACTCTGGCTTCTGGTCCTTTCTCTGCTCTTAATTGATTTTCAACACAGTCTTCTAGTGGTTGGTGTCATTGGTAGCTTACCATCGAAAATAAAAGAAGATTTTGACATTTTAATGTTTATTTCCCTGGATTTTTAACAATAGGAATTTCTAGTTTTGACAGATTATGAATGGAGTATGTATATAGAGTAGAAAAAATTAAAATTCAGATTAAAGAAAAGAACAAATGAAAGTTACTTATCATCCAACCATCCAGAGATAACCACTGTTTTAATGTTTTCTCCTGTTTTCCTTCAGTTTTTCTTGTGTATGATGCATATATGGATTTAAAATTTGGGAACCCTTTGGAGTCCACTTCTTGGGTTTGATTCAACCACTTATAAGCACTGTAGGCTTCATCTTCAAAACTGGGATATAGATAGTATAGACTTCATAAGATTATTACAGAGATTAAACTGTATAGTCTTATTGTGATGTAGATTTGTTCTCTGATTTTTGTTTTGTTTTTTTAGTTTCCATTAAACATGAACGTTTTCCCATGGCATTAATTATTCTTTAAAAGTGTGTGTGGGGGCGCCTGGGTGGCGCAGTCGGTTGAGCGTCCGACTTCAGCCAGGTCACGATCTCGCGGTCCGGGAGTTCGAGCCCCGCGTCAGGCTCTGGGCTGACGGCTCAGAGCCTGGAGCCTGTTTCCGATTCTGTGTCTCCCTCTCTCCCTGCCCCTCCCCCGTTCATGCTCTGTCTCTCTCTGTCCCAAAAATAAATAAACGTTGAAAAAAAAAAAATTTAAAAGTGTGTGTGTTTTTTAAATGGCTACACAGTATTTCATCGTATAGACTGTTAGTGACATTAGTCATTTTTGTTTGTATTTTTAAAATTTAAGTAATACACTCATAGTTAAAAAATATGAAATGAAAAGTAAAAGTCTCCCTTCCAACTTGTCCCTTATCTGTCCAGTATTCTGACCCCCGTTGCCATTATTTATTACTTAATGTGTGTCTTTTCAGAATTTCTTCATATGTATCCAAGGTAAAAATAGAATACATATTTATTTTACCCTCTCTTTTTAACAAAAAGTAGCCTGCCTTACTTCCTCTTTGCACTTACCTTGGCAGTCTTTCCATATTGGTACATGAGAAAGCTCCTTCTTTTTTTTTCCTTTTTCTTTTTCTCTTACATATCTGCTCAGCATTCTGTTGAATGCAGAATAACATTTTATTTTAAATGATTTAGAAGATTTTGGGTTGTGAGAATAGATCCTTTCCTGTTTGGATTGCATTCCAGGCTGATGCACATCTGTCTGCCTTCCCAGGTTAACTGCTGCCTTACTTCTGCTGTCACTGGCTCTACCTCTTTCCAGGGCTTCCTCGTTTGGCTCCACCATATAGTAACTAATGTGGTATTATGCAGAAAGCATGGGACTGACTGCCATTAGGGAGACAGGAAGTTTTGTCCTGGCTTGACTTATGCCCATTATGTGTGTTTGCTTCCTCATTTGTGAAGTAAGGGCTTCAACTAGATGATTTTGAGTGTTTGACTTTATTCTCTAATTTTGTCCTTAACTTGTGTGGTGAATGCTTGCTGGTACCTTTTACCCAACAGTGACTGTAGGCCAGGGAATGGGGTCTGAAGAGGAAGAAGCTTGGGGTAAGAGGTGGACAACACATGGCAAATGGAACAGGAATGGAGTAGCCCTTTTGTGAAGGGTTGCCGATACGGAGCAGGACTCTGTAGTGTCACTTTATCTGTCTTAAAGCCTTTTTGGTAACCTGACATTTGAATGTGTAAGTCATGTGGGAGAGGTTTTTCTCTATTCATCAAGATCTCTTGCAGTTTATGTGGAGTTAATTTTGGGTTTGTATATTCACAAAGGAGTATTATTAAATTGGTTTTTTTAGAGGATGGAGAAAGTTCTGTGGCAGATGGTCCAGTCTTGGTGGCTCTCTGACAGGTATATATGAATTTTTGCATTTCAGACACTAGATGATTTGCTGCGGTGTGGAATTTGCTTTGAATATTTCAACATTGCAATGATGATTCCTCAGTGCTCACATAACTGTAAGTATGCACTGTCTCTGTGAGCTAGTACAAGTGTGGTTTTTATATAAGATAGTGTTAATTTAACGCTCATTTATTTCTTACCGTTAGCTCCTCTATCTTGAGGTTTTCAGAAGGTATTTTCTGCCATCTTCCTCTTGGATATTTTTTTTTAAAGCAGAAAATTATTATATTTCAATACACAACTTTTGTACAACCAAAAAGTGCAACATCACTGTAAAGTGTTGGTGAGAAAACATAGTATTTTGTTTGCAGTGCATGGCAAATAGTTAACATCCTTAATCACAAATGATCTCTTAGAAACCAGTAACAAAGACATTAACATGCTTAACAAACATTAATATGCTTAACAAACATTAATATGCTTAACAAAGACATTTCCAAGGGAAATGAACAACAACAAAAAAACACAGGAAGGTGAAATAACAAATAACTAGTAAGGGTTAAGGACATATAAAGATGATGACTGAACTGGGGCGCCTGGGTGGCTCAGTCGATTAAGTGGCTGACTTCAGCTCAGGTCGTGATCTCATGGTTCGTGAGTTCCAGCCCCGTGTCGGGCTCTGTGCTGACGGCCTGTTTCAGATTATGTGTCTCCCTCTCTCTGACCCTCCCGTGTTCATGCTCTATTTCTCCCTGTCTCAAGAAAAAGAAATAAAACGTTAAAAAAAAAAAAATGATTGAACTGAACAATAACAGAGGAGAAGCAATGTCTTTGTAACATCACATTGTCAAAGATTAAAACACTGACATCTAATGTTTGTACTGTTTTAGAAAACAGAAGTCTCATAAACGCAGGGGGACAGGATGGATGACAATCTAAACAGTTTTGGGAAATGTCTACTTTTGACTCAAAATACTAATTTTGTGTATCCTTATTTCCAGTGAACTGGAACTACTGGGACTATTTCAACAGATTAGTTGGAGAAATTCACAGTAATTTATATATGAGCATGTTCACCACATAAAAATTTATAGCTCATGTGGGGGCCCATAAGACCATTTGCATAATAGTTTGTTTATCAGTGTACCCCAAAAGGATATGCACAAAACTCCATTAACAGATAATGTTGGGAAGTGGTATTGGAAGGGGAGAAAGCATTTAGGAAGTAAAAATGGTATCCTTCACAAATTTCTGTGTCCTTTGAAATCTGGGAAAAGATACCTTTTTATGAATCAATTTTAAATTTACCCTGTGATAAGTGAAAATTATAAATATGTGCACTTCATACTTACGGGAACACTGAGATGAAGCCTTGTAATCATACCATCATGAGCTCGTCTGTGTCATGACATCTCCATCATTCAAGCTCCCAATATTTATTAAAAAATTTTTTTTAATGTTTATTTATTTTTGAGACAGAGAGACAGATTGTGAATGGGGGAGAGGCAGACAGAGAAGGAGACACAGAATCCGAAGCAGGCTCCAGGCTCTGAGCTGTCAGCACAGAGCCTGACGCGGGGCTCAAACTCATGAACTGTGAGATCGTGACCTGAGCTGAAGTCAGACGCTTAAATGACTGAGCTAGCCAGGCGTCCCTCAAGTTCCCAATAGTTAGTCCAATATCAATAATGAGAAGACTCAACGTCTCTGATCACAGTTCTTTCCAGTGACACGACACTCTTTAGGTAGCTTTCAAACATGAGTGTTCTCAGTCCAGTTTTTCTTTTTAAAGGTTGGTTTATTATTTATTTTCAGAGGGGGGACAGGGGGAAAGAGAGAGGGAGAGAGAGAATCCCAAGCAAGTGCCACGCTGTCAGTGCAGAGTCCCATGTGGGCCTCAGTCTCACAAACTGTGAGATCATGACCTGAGCCAAAATCAAGAGGCAGACGCTTAACTGATGGAGCCACGCAGGCCCCTCTCAGTCCAGTTTTTCTGATCTGCAAGGACTGTCCACTCCAGTACACGAAAGAGGAGTGTCCATGCATCATGAAGACTGTCTTTTGGATTTGAAGATGCTGGCAGAAGCAGTAGCGTCAGTTTTACATGTAGTCATCACTCATTGCGCCAAGGCTTATTCCTGGGACCGGAGATGGGAGTGAAGACCGCGTGAAGGAGTAATATTGCCACCAGAGGTCTGGTGGTACCAGTTCTTGCGACTACAAGCAGAGGTAACAGTGTGTTTTCCTGAAGCTCTCATCTCCTGTGGTCTCCATTTAAGACTTACGAAGTAGGAAAGTCCATCGGACAAGGAATATTCCTGATGTCACCTGGCCTCAGGTTATCTGTAAATCTCTTCCTTTCATCGTGTTCATCTCAAATCCCACCTTCTCCCATGTTTTCTTGGATCCCCTCTTGGATATTTTTATGCCTTTTTTAACGCTGTAGCAATGAAAATTTTGGTCTTTATTTGCCAAGTACTTTTAGATGTTAGATTTCAGAATTTTTGTTTTGTAACAGAATAACGTACAGGTAGTTCATGTAGTCCTTGGTATAAATGTATATAATTCAGAGTTTAAAAATATATTCAAATATATTCAAAGTTTAAAAATCCCAGTGGGAGAATTCCCACTGAAGAGTATTACCCTTAACTTGCTGTGTGACTGTGATTGTAATATATTGAGATTTGTTCGTACTTCTTTTTATGTGTCTACTGTGTATTTTTTATACTGTAGCTTAAGGTATTTAATGCATAGTGGTGAGCCTGTCTTTGTTTAAGAGCTGGCCATCCAATGAACGGGTCATCTAGGTTCATGATCTTTCTTGTCCTCTATTTTCTTTCTTTTGTCCTCTATTTTCAGTTGATTTGTCTTAGAAGGTTAGAGACAAGGTAGGCTTAAAAGATGATTTTGGTGGGTAGTAGTAGCATTGGTGAAGAAGTTTCTATAGCAAAGACGTAAGAGGGTGGTGCTGGTAGCAACGTGGGTGTTAGAGATGTTACTAGGCTTGACTCTTGACTCCCCTCCCTTAACCAGGCGGGTTAACTTGCAAATGCTAACGTTTCTTCAAATGTAAAAATTTGATGAGTCATTTCTACTTTAAAAGGTGATTGTGAAGGGGCCCTGGGTTGGCTCAGGCGGTTAAGCCTCGGACTCTTGATTTCAGCTCAGGTTCCTGAGATGGAGCTCGCGTTTGTCACTATGCTGACAGCCCTGTGCTTACTTGAGATTCTCTCTCTCCCTCTTTCTGCCCCTCTCTCATTTTTATGGGCACACTCTCTTTCTTTCTCAAAATAAATAAACTTAAAAAAAAAAAAAGATAATTGTGAAAACTAAATGTGCAGAGCCCAGTGTCTGGCATGGTATATATAGGTCCTCAATAATTGTTAGTTCTTTTCTAGGGTAGATTCACATTAGTTACCAAGATAAGTTTTAGGAATTATTTCTAAGTATGAGTTAAAATAATCTTTAGGTATAATTTACATTAATACATTATATCCATTATAAGACGTAAAGGGTACAAGCATAGTTGAGGTTTGACGAAGGTGTATACCATGTAACCAGTATAGTTAAGATATTGTACATTCTATCCCCTGACAGAGTACTCCCCATAATAGTCAATATAGCTTCAGGCAGTAATGTGTGTGTCTGTTTCTGGACTCTTTTCTGTTCCATTGTTCTCTATGTTTATCCTCGTGTCAATACCACACTCTCTTAATTACTGTAGCTTTGTAGTAAGTCTTGATGTCAGACATTTTAAGTCCTCTCATTTTGTTTTTATTTGGACCTTTTAGGATCTTTGCATTTTATATGCATTTTCTTTCTTTTTTTCTTTCTTCCTTCCTTCCTTCCTTCCTTCCTTCCTTCCTTCCTTCCTTTGTTTTTTTTTTTTTAGCGTTTTTTTAATTTTGAGAGACAGAGTGTGCATGCAAGTGATGAGCATGAATGGGGGAGGGGCAGAGAGAGGGAGAGAATCTCAAGCAGGCTTCGCACTGCACAGAGCCTATAGCACAGAGTGCCCACGGGGCTGGATCCCATGAATGGTGAGATCATGACCTGAGCTAAAACCAAGAGTCTGATGCTTAACTTGACTGAGCCTCAGGCACCCCCTACCTTTTTGTTTTTTATTTGTCCATCTCTTTCTTATCCTTCTGCTTTTTAAGAAATAATTGAACATTTTGGGGCGCCTGGGTGGCTCAGTCGGTTAAGCGGCCGACTTCGGCTCAGGTCGTGATCTCGCGGTCCGTGAGTTTGAGCCCCGTGTCAGGCTCTGTGCTGACAGCTCGGAGCCTGGAGCCTGTTTCAGATTCTGTGTCTCCCTCTCTCTCTGACCCTCCCCTGTTCATGCTCTGTCTCTCTCTGTCTCAAAAATAAATAAACGTTAAAAAAAATTAAAAAAAGAAAGAAGAAAGAATTGAACATTTTAAGTATTAACTGTTTTCCACAATTGACTTACTAGCTCTGCTTCTTTGTTTTATTATTTTAGTGGTTGTTTAAAATATGCCTCTTTAATTTATAACAATCTCCTTTCAAACAGTGTTATGCCATCTGAATAGGGTAGAAACGTTACAAACATGTACTTGCGTTTCCCCTGTCATCCTATTGTTGTCTTTAGTTTTATGTGTACATATATTATAGACAGCACAATACATTGTTATTATATGTGCTTTAGAGAGCCCATTATCTTTTTTTTTCTAAGAAGGCTACATGCCCAGCGTGGAGCCCAGTTCAGGGCTTGAACTCACCACCCTGAGTCAAGACCTGAGCAGAGATCAAGAGTCAGACGTGTAACCTGCTGAACTACCCAGGCACCCCTGACAGTCCATTATCTTTTAAGCAAACTAAAAAATTTCTTTTTTGTCTTTTGTATTTACCCACATATTTCTCATTTCTGATACTCTTCTTTCCTTTATATGTATCAAAAGTTTCCTTCTGGAAAAAGTATCATTTTTTTTTTCTCTCTGCTACATTTCTTGCAGTATAGTTAGTTTGCCAAAGAATTCTGTTTAGCATATGAAACCAGATGTGGTATTCTTATTTATAGCTTTCTGTATATAAGGTGCCTTTTTTCCTTAGCTACTTTTCAGATTTTCTCTTTACCAGTGGTTTTTAGAAATTT